GCAAGCCAATGCCAAGAACTTGGTGGCCATCACCCCTGTGTTTTTCTCTGAAAAAGATGAAAAACAAAGACGATGAATGCGGCGCTTAGTTTATTTCAATAAAATGACAAAATAAGTATCCAACGCTCTCAAAACTTTTTGCCATTTTTAAATTTGAGTGCGTTGGATATATATAGTATTTATGAGGGAGAACGACATTTTCCCACCCAAGGTTTGGCGAAACGACAGTTTCCCATCCATCAAGTTTCAAAATGACACTTTCTTACCCTTCGTTAGGTTCTGTTACATTTTTTGTTAATATTTTACTAAAAAGACAAAAATACCCTTAAATATTTTACTTTATAAAATTTTTATTATTTTTTAATTAGTTAAAAAATCAAATATTAAAAAGTCAAAAAAAGAAAAAATAGTTAACTCCACCTAAAAAGTTAAGAGTAATGCTATAAAATTTTATTTAAAGTTAAATGACTTTAATATTTATTTATTTATAATGTCATTAATATCTTATCACTATTATTTAATAATCTACTAAATTTATAATGCTTTTCATTTTTACTAATTAACATAAAAAATTAATATTCCTAATTAATTAAATAAACAAAGAAAAAAATATATCTTTACACTTAGACTAATAATTAATCAAGTAAAGACTTTGACTTAACTAAATTTTAATTTATAAGAAACTAATTAAGAAATAAACTATTTAAGGTTGTTTTCATCTTTTCAGTCAAATATTAACAGAAAACACTAATAGAACCTAACGAATGGTGAGAAAGTGTCATTTTGAAACTTGACGGGTGCAAAAGTGTTGTTTTGTCAAACCTTGGGTGGGAAAATGTCTTTCTCCCCATTTATGAAAGATAGTGGAGCAATTAAATTTGTCTGAATTAAGTAATCCTTAATAATCAACAAAATTAAATATTTATAATAAAAATAATAAATTAAAGTGAAGTGCGGTGTATTGTAGTGTCATATACAATCAGCATAAATAATTATGAAACTATAACAAGAATAAAATATATTTTATTAAAAGAAATCATTACTAAATTTTAATAAATAAATAAATATAAAAAATCAGAAAATTTAAGAAAATGAGAAAAATATAGAATAATAAAAAATTGAAATATTAAATATTAAATATTAAAGAATAAAAAATTAAAAACCTTACTCAAAAATTGAAAACCTTACTTTTAAAAAGTTAAAAAATTAATACAAATATGGAAAGAGAAAAATTAATTCTTCATTTTCAAAATCTTTAAAAAAAATCAATTCGTTTTCATTTAAATATTTGTGATTTTAGTGATTTTGTTGACATGCAAATATGTAAAGAAACTGGATATGAAATGAAAATAAGTGAATTATTCTCATTTCTAATTATGCTAAAATATGATTTTCTTTACTTTATTATTGAGATTATTATTATTTGTAATATTTTATATCCTTATATAGCTATCATACTTTTTGTATAAATAGATTATGTATTCACAATTCAAATTGAATAACTCAATATAATTAAATTGAATTTCTCTGATAGATCTCTCATGTATACTCCGACCATTTCAATTGTCTCTCTTGCTCTCTCAAAAATATCTTTTGGGCATACTCTAGTGCTCTTCAATTGCCTCTCTTGCCCTCTCAATTCTAACATGGTATCAAAATATTCAGGTTTAGGATAGTGAACAACTATTTCATGTCTTGAAAAACTCTGTCAACAAGACGATAAATATCTAAGGAGGATAGGTTTTAAGTGAGACAATTTGTGACCCCTTCAGTGTTTTCTGAAAATTTTTCTAGTGCATATTGAATCATTTTCAACTCTTACTACTATTTTAGGTTATTGAGTTGTTCCACTAATCAATCCACTCTAGCCTCGAGTTCTGCTTCAACATGCAAGATACATGGCACTCAAATTAGATAATCTCTTCCACAATCAAGCTTCCACTAATCAATCCACTCTAATCTAATGGCAGACAATATTTATATCCACTACGCAAGCTTAGATTTTATGACTTATACAAACCACAAGCTTGAGGAAAAGTATTGACATGCAAATTTGTGAAGAAAATATGTGACATTGATTTATATATCATCGGGACATGGAATGAGAAAATGTGATTATTATCATTCTTAATTATACTAAGATATGATTTTCTTTGCTTTATTATTGAGATTGTATCATTATTTGTAATATTTTATATCATTACGTAACTATCATACTTTTGTAGAGCTGGGCATTTGGGATCGGGCCCAAAAGCCCAGCATCAAAACCCGGTCCTAGGACCAGTCCTTGAGAGGATCGGTCCTAGGAGACCTAGTCCCAAAACAGGACCAGGCCTAAGGAGGAGGGCCCTCCTCCAAGGCCCAGGCCTGGGCCCAATTTTTTTTGTATTTGATCCTTTTAGTCCCTTGTAAAATTACATTAAACCCCTAAATAAGTATAAATTATAAGGGCTAAAATAAAATTTTATAAAAGTTATTTAAAAAAAAAAAAAAATTTAACTTTTTATAACCGTTGGCTGCCAACGGTCATAGCAGAGCAGCCACCAATCAATCTCTCATTCTTTCATTCTCTCAATCTCTCTACTCCAGATCTCCAATCAATTTCTCATTCAATTTATATTTATAATTTATTCATATTATTTATTTATATTATTCAAATTTTTTTCTATTTTTCAATATCATCATAATTTCATATTATTATTTAATTTCTTTTCATTTTAATTATTTATTATTTTATCATAAATTTATAATGTCTTTCCCAAATGAGTTTTACGTTCCATCCACCGAAAAAATTGAAGCCTTCAATCCATTTNATGTCTTGAAAAACTCTGTCAACAAGACGATAAATATCTAAGGAGGATAGGTTTTAAGTGAGACCATTTGTGACCCCTTCAGTGTTTTCTGAAAATTTTTCTAGTGCATATTGAATCATTTTCAACTCTTACTACTATTTTAGGTTATTTAGTTGTTCCACTAATCAATCCACTCTAGCCTCGAGTTTTGCTTCAACATGCAAGATACATGGCACTCAGATTAGATAATCTCTTCCACAATCAAGCTTCCACTAATCAATCCACTCTAATCTAATGGCGGACAATATTTATATCCACTACGCAAGCTTAGATTTTATGACTATACAAACCACAAACTTGAGGAAGAGTATTGACATGCGAATTTGTGAAGAAAATATATGACATTGATTTATATATCATCGGGACATGGAATGAGAAAATATGATTATTATCATTCCTAATTATACTAAGATATGATTTTCTTTGCTTTATTATTGAGATTGTTACATTATTTGTAATATTTTATATCATTACATAACTATCATACTTTTGTATAAATAGGTTTTGTATTCACAACTCAATACAATTAAATTGAATTTTTCTATGATATCTCTTGGGCATACTCCGACAATTTTAGTTGTCTCATTTGCCCTTTTAAAGATACCTCTCGAACATACTCTGGTTCTCTTCAATTGACTCTCTTGCCCTCTCAATTTTGACAGATTTTACATTTTTTTTTATTTAAAATGAATTATCAATAAATTTTAGGATAAAATAGTCACATTAAAAATATAGTTAGGGTAACTTATATTGTGTTTGGTTAAATTGAGTGCTCTCCCATATTTTGAGGGTTTACATGTTAGTTTCTAGAATTTTTTGGGACAACGGTTATTCTGTGAGTTTCAAGGGGCGTAAATGTACCAACACTTAATATATAAAAGTATAGATTCACTTACTCTTTTGCCCTTTATCTTTCTTAAACTAACGTAATAATCCTTATAGCAGGGGGTTTAAAGTAATTATCAGTACCGGACGGGATTTAAGGTTTCGGGTAAACCTCGGGTTCCGAATTTTCAATCATGATTTGGTTCTTCAAAGAAAAGCTTTGTGTTCTCATGGTGGATACTTATTTATGTGATAATAAAGAGAAATTAATTTACTACATATTTTTTCCCTTAATTTGTACGACTAATTGATTTAGAGTGATCTTTAAAAACCCCAATTTTAAATTTATCCTTTAAATTTGAGTTGATGACTTTTTCCCACCCAAATAATGGTTTAATGACACTTTTTCATCAACAGACTTTTAAAATACCACTTTACTATCCAAATTTATATTCCAATGGTGAACAGAGATCCGACGGAGAACAAAGAGCAAACTCAATCCAAGTTGTTGGGGCTTTTGAAAATGGGTGGCCGATGAGTCTTTTGATAGTGGAAAGTTAGATTTTGGTTGTTGTGATTGATCAGAATTTGACTTGGGAGGGGTGATTGTGCAAACCCTAATCGTTCGATTGTCGATGATTGACGAGGTTGACGGAAATAGGGTTTAAGGGTTTTTGGTGAGTGATAATTGAGGAAGAAAATGGTGATAGTTTAGGGTCGTAACGATTTCGGGATCGGAAACGGAATATAAAATGATATTTTAAAAGTTTATAAATAAGAAAATATCATTAAGTCATTATTTGGATGGGAAAAAAAATCGCTTACTATTTAAAATTTTCAAACATATTTAAATGTCTATTCGACAATTTTGATGATTTTGAACAAGTAAATAAATAAGAATAGTTACGCATAAAAATTGATATAATTCATTTATATTTATTGAATTGATCTTCTTTACATTTATTCATTTTGTATTAATTTATATTAAATATTTGTATTATTCGGTGAGTATATGCCCTCCCCACTCCCCAGTAAAACTTTTTTATGCTTGATCAGGAAAGCCACTAAACATATGCATTTATGATGTGTACCGCTAATTCTCCTAACGGATCAACCAAATACAAAGGCCGATTAAACTATATACACCAGGTTGTTGTTCTTCCATTAATATTCAAATAAACAATATTATCTTAGTAATCATCATTTGAATAATAGATTCAGATATATAAACAAATTTAAAAGAACAGTTGCACTGATGAAGATGTAGCTGCAGCCTGCAGGTCCAATCCAACAAAAGACTAAACAGAATTTATTCTTTTTAAACTATTTCACAATTTTGATCTTCATAACTCCTAAAATAAAACCAACCATAACTCTACAGACCATCAAACAACTAGTTATATGTACATAAACTGCCAGCAAGCCAAGATTATCGTCGGCTTAATTTATTCCTGGGAGATCTTCACACCTTTAACATATATAGACAAGACAACCATCGTCATAGATCATTCTATCATTATTCCACGTATCTCAAGGTTGTTCAGCTTCTTCGGCCTCTTATAGTACTTCAATAAGAGAGAGCAACAAACTACACTGACTGAAGAAGCTGCCATTGCTGCTCCGGCAATCCATGGTGGTAAGCGGAATCTGATAGATGGGAAAAGAGCTCCGGCAGCAATTGGTATACCAAGAAGATTATAACCCAATGCCCAAATGTAGTTCAAACGAATGCGTGAAAAGGTTTTCCTAGATAAGTCTATGGCAGTTATGACATCCTCCAAGTTACTCTTCATGAGAACAATGTCAGCTGCCTCTATTGCAATGTCCGTACCAGCACCAATTGCCATTCCAACATCTGCAGCTACTAGCGCCGGTGAATCATTAATGCCATCTCCCACCATTGCCACGGTATATCCTGAAGCCTGTCAACGAGAAAAAAGAAAAGGGTCTTAATGTAAAAATCTTTACTTGAATAATGGTGATACTAATCTAAGTAGCATTTATCACTGAGATGCTAGATGTTGGATATACATACCTGTAACTCCTTCACTTTCTCTGCCTTCTCATCAGGTTTGGCTTCCGCGATAACAGTTTCAATGCCGACTTCATTAGCAATGGATCTGGCAGTTCCCCAGTTATCACCTGTTACCATGATGCTTTTAACATCCATAGACTTGAGAATGGAAATGGCTTCGTATGCACCCGGTTTCAGAGGATCAGATATGGCGAGAACTCCAGTCAATTCCCCGTCTATAGATACTAGAATCCCAGTTTGTGCCATTGCTTCAGTTTCTGTTAGCATTTCCTCAGCATCTAGTGGAACGGAAATTTTAAGGTCTAACATCAAGCTCTTGTTTCCCACAATTATTTCTTTGTTCCGAACAATGGCTTTCACTCCATGGCCAGTTATGGAGACAAAGTCTTGCGCTTCTGGCCAGATAGGATTCTCTTCATCTTCTCTAAATTTCTTTGCGTACTCAACAATAGCCTTGGCCAATGGGTGCTCACTGTTTGCCTTGTAGATAGATAACAATAATATATCAGAAGTTCAACACATAATAACCAAATTTTCAAGTTGTTTCCTAGTTCGGTAGAACTACTGGTAAAGGAAGATATAAATGACTTCTTCAAATTCTCAAAACATGAAGACATACCTCAGTTGCAGCCACAAGTTCATAAAAATCTCTTAGCACCATACTTTTCAACAGTTTAGTGCTAACAACAACGGGTTTTCCAACTGTGAGTGTTCCAGTCTTGTCAAAGACGATGCAGTTCACCTACAAGATTGTCAACCAGAATTATAAGAAAATGTAATCCAGTCTCTGTATGTATAGAAAGTAGCAAAGAGCAACATGAAGTCATGAATGGGCATGTGCCAACCTTTTGTGCACTTTCTAGTGCTTGGCCCCCCTTAATTAGTACTCCTTGAGATGCACCAACTCCAGTACCAACCATCACAGCAGTTGGAGTCGCGAGGCCTAGAGCACATGGACAGGCTATGACCATGACAGAGATTCCAAACTGAAGTGCAAGCTGAAAGCTATCCATAGAAGATGGTATCCAGGATTCTGGGTAGCCATTGAACTTTCCGGCTAAAAACCAAGCAAGCCAGGTTGAAAATGAAAGGATGATCACCTTCAAGAAGCAGCTAGCATTATCAATTAAACCCAGTACATATACTTGACATTCTAACTAAAAGACAATACTAACCGTAGGCACAAAGTATTTAGAAATGCGGTCAGCAAACTTCTGAACAGGAGCTTTAGCCATCTGGGCGGACTCAACAAGTCGAACAATTTGTGAAAGAGAACTCTCTGATCCAACCCTTGTTGCCTTAATATGTAAGACTCCATTCTCATTCAGCGTGCCTCCAATCACTAAATCACCCTTCCTCTTGGCCACTGGCCTCGCCTCTCCTGTTATCATACTCTCATTCACATGGCTTTGTCCCCACAAAACATAGCCATCTGAAGCTACTTTTGCACCAGGAATAATTTTGATGACATCATTCTTTTGTATCAACCTACTATCAATTTCTTCTTCATTTATCACATTTCCTTCATCATCCAAAGTTAACAATGTTGCTGTCTCGGGTGCTAAGTCCATAAGCTTCGCAATGGCCTCAGATGTCTTTCCCTTAGCCAAGACCTCTAGAAATTTTCCAAGTAGAATAAATGAAATAAGCATTGAACTAGTCTCAAAGAAATCTGTGCCCTCAAAATCAGGAGAGGTAGCAGCTCTTAACACCGTGTAAACTGAATAGAAATAAGCAGCATTTGTTCCCAGGGCAATCAAAACATCCATATTCGCAGAACCATGGCGCAATGCTTTGTAGGAACCAGTATAGAATCTTCGTCCTATAATGAATTGAACTGGAGTAGCTAGTACCCACCTTAGCATCTCTCCAATGTTAAGCATATTGACTATTTTTGTATCCAGTCCATGCTTGATTCCAGGAATATACATGAAGATCATTGAAGTTAAAAATACAGGAATTGTGAAAACCAAACTCCACATAAATGATCTGTAGTATTGCTTAATTTCTTCCCGTTTATGAGTCTCTCTTCCTCCTCCACCTTCAGGAAATATCTTGGCCTTGAAACGCCCGGAACCAGTTGACTCTATCACATTAATAAAGTTTCTAGGTCCAGTCATATCAGATTTATATGAAAGGGAGATCTTATGCAGTTCCGGATCCAAATCGATGCCTTGAACTCCAGGGAGAGCTTGAAGAGAATTTCCAATCATTCTCATGGAATTAAGAGTTCTTACACCATCAACCTGGAGATGAATCTTGTTCATGTCTTCTCCTGTACTGATAAGTATGGCTTCAAATCCAGTATCTTCAATGACCTCCATAAGTTGATTATGGCTAACAACTTTTGGATCATAATGAATTTCTGCTTCTTCAGTTGCTAAAGCCACTTGGGCTTTCAGTACACCATGAATTGCTTGCAAAGCTTGTTCAATAGTTGAGGAGCAAGAAGTGCAAGTCATTCCATTAATGCGTATTCGGCATACTTGAGTAGCTTTTTCATTTGTTTCATCTTGGATTAAAGTTGCTTCAAATCCAACATCCTCAATTGTCTCACGAATTGTCTCTTCCTGTAATATATGTTAAACTAAAACTCATTACTAATTAAAAACTAACTTATCTACAGGCCAAAGTTTAATTCCACCGAAAAATTATATGATAAACAAACAAAAAAACAAAAGCCAACTTAAGTAATTTCTCCAATCAACAAGAAATGAACTAAGATAGCTTTTGAAGTTTGTTCAACTCATGTTTTAATCCTCAAATCATAAGTTCAGAGGTTCAATCACTATAACTTTCATCTATATTGAAGTCCAGTGTATAGCTGAGGTCCATAATTGAAGTTGATCTGGGCCTGACCCAATACAGAAGCCTAAACAGTAAACCCACCCAGCTGTCATAAATCATGGCAATCATATCGTACAAAGGGCACAAATTTTCCGCTTTAACGGACAGAGAAAACCTTTTATATATACAAAAAGCAAATCTCGTTTCTTGCTCAGTGGCTGAAACAAATAGCTTTTTCCTTTCCGTTCTCAAGACAGAGATAAATGAGACGGTGTTACTGATAAGAGTGAATGCATTTAAGACTACGTTTTCTTTTTCAATCAACCCGTGAAAAATTGATATATTTTGATACTATGAGTAACTGAAAAGCAAAGAAATGTCTAGAAGGAAAAAGGCAGACTGATATTCGATATTCAATCTCTGGAAACTACTGTAATGAAAGAATTTAACAAATAAATAAATAATACCCCAAGTGTCAAATTTTCTTCTGTAAAGAATCAAATCACACCCAACAAAGGAAAATCTCTTTTGATTCCCTTGTAAAAATCTTCAAAATAGAAATATTTTCATCATTTTACACGAAATGATTTATTCCATAGAAAATAGGAAGCGTAGAAAGAATAAAAAGTTAAAAACTTACGTTAACGTAGGTGGGGTAGAACAAGACTTGAGCCCGATTATTCAAGACATCAACGACGGCCTCATGAATCCCAGGAAGTCTTTTAACAGCTTTCTCGACGGATCCAGCGCAGGCGGAGCAAGTCATTCCCATAACCGAAAAAACAGCCTTGGCCCTTGAATTCTCGACGTTCGTTTGTTGCGCCGCCACGCCTTTGGGATACTTGGGCATAGAGGGGTAGTGTGGCCGCGGCGACAGGTCTCCATAACCACTGTCGTTTCGTATGCAAGCCAATGCCAAGAACTTGGTGGCCATGACGTGTCTCTGAAAAAAGATCAAAAAAACAAAACGACGGCGATACGGGCTTAGTAAAATCTCATAGCTTGGCTCAGAATTTAAAATGGGAAAACGTTATGCGTAAAGGCTATACTATTTAGAAAGAAGGTGGCGCAAGTAAAATTTTTCTAAATTAAATAATCATCTCAAATCCACGATGCTGGATTGGAATATTATCTGTTTGACCAAAATATATACATATACATGCATAAAGATAGTGGATGTACATTATATAGTAATTTAATGGTAAAAATAGTGATGCCGAAAAAATAAAGTGGAGTAGTTGGTAGGGGCATAAATATAAATATGAAAATATCCAAATCCAATACTTGTTATTGGAGTTGAGGCGTAAAGTCTTCCACCACCATCTTAACGGAATTTAGAATCATTATTTGGGAAACCCTACCATTTCCGAGGTTAAATCTTAAATCTTAATTAATTCAACCAACCTTAGGATGTGTTTAGGTTAAGAAATATTGTATTATTGAGAATGTTATACTAATATGTTTGGTTGAGAGGATAAATGGGCAGGTAAGTTATATAGATTACTAAATTACCCTTCTTTTTAAATATTAATATAATATTATTTTTATTATCATTTTTTAACCCCCCTTATATTTAAAATTTTGCTAAAACACTCCAGTTATATAAAACTTTAATTTGTAACAAAATCAACCCACCCACCCAAGGGACTGCCGACCGTCAGAATTGGCTATAATAGCGCACTACCGACCAATGATGCGCTGTTAAGGCCATTTTAGGCCATGGATTTGTGATCCATGGCTGGAAATGGCTAGAATTGGCCGTTTCACGGCCAAAGATGTGGTCGTGAAATGGCCACAGATCTGGTAGCCGTAAAACGGTTGACATTTCACGGCCACAAATCTGACATTTTCACGGCCAAAGATGTCGACTCTTGAGTGTATTACTCAAAAAGTCATAAGTTCGAGTCTCTCTTTGGATGCTAATAGGGGTAGCGACTAGAACTCGTACCTGGCAAGCCAATAGTTTCAAGGTCCCAAGAGATTAGTTGAGATACACGTAAGTTGGTCTAAACCCCTGATCAAAAAAAAAAAAAAAAAGGAACAAGATTTCTCCTCTACTTTGAGATTAATCCAAAATAAGGGTAAATTAAAATGGATTTATATCCATTGCCGTGGGAGTTTAACTTAACTGAATTACTATATATTATATATTAATTTACAAACCCTTAATTATGCATGTAACATGGATCCACAAGCAATAATCTATATATATATAATATATATATATATATATATATATATATATATATATATATATATATTCTTGGAAATGAATTTGTGGTTTTATGTGCAAAAGAAATAAAGAGAAAATATGAAGTGAATGAAGAGGCACATAATAAAGAAATTAACTGAGGCAGCTGGAAAGGAAGAATAGGTAGATAAAACGTACGAGAAAAGAACCTTTGCTTCAAAGACCTCTTCACGCAGTTTATGGTTCACACACCACCCGTATTTATAGTAACTTGAACAGCTAAATAATCAAATTTTTAAACATATTATTGTATGGGAAATATTTATAATATAAGCGGCTGAATCTAGCAAAAACATAGGATAAACTACACCAGGTTGTTCTTCCAATTCCAATATTTAAATAAAAACAATTTCAGCTTTCATGCTTCGTTGACTATTCTAGATAACTGGCATTTAGCTTACTATGCCCTACAAGAATCTCTTGGAATCATACAGTGGAACACGATGGAATCTCCGGCGGAAGAAGATACCTTCTCATATAATAATAATAATCAAAGACTGATTTGTGTCAACGTTTGGTGCCAGATTATTCAGTAATTAAAATCTTATTCGACCACACAGTTGACCTACTGTAGTGTAAAAGAAACATTTTGCATTTAAAATCTTGCTTACGACTTGTATAAATCGATGTTTTGAATTAAAAGGTAAGGAGGAGGTTTTATAATTTGTGTAGTAATATTGGACTTTGGGATCAAGGCAATACTTGGAAATTAATCGATCAATAATTACCTACTATTGTCCAATTAATTAATGTTCGTCTACCAATTTTGTATAGATTTCTGAATGAAACCAAGTCAAATTATTCTTGTAAAATTCAAACTGAATTGCCAATTGATATAGACAACAACTAATTTACAAATTTGAGTCCCCTTATGATAAAAGACTAAGAAAAATAACCTAACATAATCTCTCAAGTTCGAATCCTCTTGAAGGTAACAAAACAAAAATAGGATCTAATCTGATCTCCCAAATTTGAGTCCCTACGGTTGTTAATAGGATTGGCCACAGGAGCTTTTATCCAGCTCGTAATTCCAGAGTCTCAAAAGATTAATCAACCAATAATTATCTAGTATTGTCCGATTAATTAACGATCCCCTACCTTTTTGTGCAGATTTCTTGATGAAAAGAAGTCAAATCATTCTTGTTTTTCAAACTGGAATTGCCAATTGATATGGACCACAACTAATTTACAAGTTTTCTGTGATAAGTGATAGGGGGATATGTTTACTTACCATTATACCATAATCCCAAAATCAATATTAAATCACCGACGTGTTAAGACACGTTAATGACATAATTACAATATAATACAATCAGTAATTTAAGTTAATCAAGTTATGACAAAGCCATAACAATTAAATAAAGAAAATGCAGTTATTTTCCACCATGCCCAACTCTTTACTTGTTTGAATCCTATGTGGGATTGTGTGTTCGTTGACTTTTAAACAATTAAATTTTGTTTTATTAGTGTATGCAAGAAAAGTTTAAAGCCTACATCATTTTTTCTTTAAATGTTCAGGGGTATCCGGGCCTGTTTACGCACACCTTAACTAATTTCTCAGGATTCTAGAACTACCAATATATGCAAGAAAAGTTTAAAGCCTTTTTTTTTTTTATGATCGGGGGTGTCCAACGAGTTTACTCGTACCTCAACTAATCCATCGGGACCATGGAACTACCAGTGTATGTAAGAAAAGTTTAAAGCCTGCACTTTTTTTTTATGACTAGGGGTGTCCAGGTCAGTTTACGCACACCTTAATTAATCTCTCAAAACCCTAGAACTACCGACCGAGTGACCACCCCTATTAGCAACCAATGAGGGATTCGAACTCAGAACCTCTTGAGTAATACACCCAAAAATCCCTATCGAACCATTCGGCTACTTAGAGGTACTTAAAGCCTACTTTTTTTTATAGACCCATATTGTTAGTGTATGCCCTAAGAACCAATCGTGTCGTCGGTTCTAAGGCATTATGTTTTGTATATATATGTGAATGTATATAGTTTGTATATACATTTTATCTTATCAATAGAAGAAAGTGTTCTTATTTCACATGTGGTTTATTGCTTCATTTATATATATGTATTACATGTGAAATGTCCGGATGATACAAATCTTTAGAAGATCAAAATCATCATAGTATTCCCTATATAGGTAATATTAATTGGGCAATAATATTACATAATAGGCATGCTGAATGCCTCCGTAGAATATCATATGATGGTATTGGTGTGGGTGATTATAAAAGTTATATCACTAGGGTATTAGCATGGATACACGGTTAATGAACTATTAATCGAATATGGTCATTTATAATGAATCACATGGATATTTAAAATATAGTCAATAATTTATCATAAGATCGTACTAGTGTATTATTAATCCTTAGACCTAAGATGTCACGGTTGGATTCTGCATAAATGCATATGGTTCATATGGTGTATAAACATAAGGCTAATCATGCCATGTATTAATAAGCCGATTTAGTCATGTGTTGTTTATATGTGAAGACAAGTGATAGTTAAAATATGATCCGTTGACTTAGTATAGATTGAAATGAATGAAGAGGCACATAATAAAGAAATTAACTGAGGCAGCTAGAAAGAAAGAATAGGCAGATAAAACGTACGAGAAAAGAACCTTTGCGTCAAAGACCTCTTCACGCAGTTTATGGTTCACGCACCACCCGTATTTATAGTAACTTGAACAGCTAAATAATCAAAAATTTAAACATATTATTGTATGGGAAATATTAATAATATAAGCGGCTGAATCTAGCAAAAACATAGGATAAACTACACCAGGTTGTTCTTCTTCTTCCAATATTTAAATAAAAACAGTATTATCTTATGTAATCACCATATCAGCTTTCATGCATCGTTGATTAATCTAAATAACTGGCATCTACCTAATGCCCTACAAGAATCTAATGTGTTATGCCCGGGAAAATAAAGGGCTGACGTGGGAAAGTCACGTGAAGGGTGACCTGCTCCCGTCAGAGTAACACGCACACGTCAGACCTGCCAAATGATATGGAGCTCACACGCGTCCATTTCCCTGCAATAAGTCGTGCGAAATCAGCTTGGGAAAGGGAAAATGGGACATAAAGCCGGATTATATCCTGACAATCACACCAAACCATGGATTTAATGATGATTACACGCTTCAGTTTGATATAAAATGAAGNTTCAGTTGTTTGAGAGGTGCCGATCGGAAAAGAATGGTTTCTGGTTTGCAAAGGGCTGTCACTCGAAGCAAAGTAAATTTCGGTGACCTCATCTGAAAAACGCAAGTTTTTATATGGATTGCGAATCGACGGTTACCACCCCTCGGAACCGAAACTACAGCCCACTCTCTCTCTCTCCCCACATTAAATGCGCCCCACGTCGCATTAAATGCCGTGATAATAGTCGTCGTTTCGAATGTGCTGCGCAACTAATGCTGTTAAAACGGTGTCGGGTCAGCACACGATGCATTTAATGTGTCTGACAAACGCTTCAGTGCGTACAGAGCGCCTGACAGCGCAGAACCAGGTTCATCGAATTTCTAAGGCACAGAAAGGAGCATCCATCGGATCCAGCTCGCTGAGATGAAGATTATCAGGTCGCTTAGGCAGGGAATTGCGCGAGATCGTGTTCGCCAAAAGTCCTGTGCCGAGCTTATCCCATGCAGGTCGGAGCGAC